TATTGCAATGTCTTGAAGATTTTGAGCATGAAAAATCTATTTCATAAAAAGTTACAAACTTTCATGGAGACCAGCACATACAGAGCACCTACTATGTTACAGGCACTGAATAGACATACACATATTGTATTCGTTGTCTGTAGATTTCAGTTGAAATGAGCAGGAATGAACATAAGTACTCCATACAAAGTTTTATATACATGAGATATATATGCATATATGCACATAACTTTTTTCTATTTGGTCTTAAAAAACCCTGAGGTGTTTTAAGGAAGGTAATGAACTTTATATTCAATGGTAATTAATTTGGAATTCATTTTGGTAAATCATAATTTGACCAATACTTTTTCCTCACAGTATGGAGAATTTTAAGGTTTAGTGTAGCAAAAATGCTGTTCTTCTTAAGCCACTTTGAAGCAACGTTGGTGAGTCTACAATCACATCTACATGTTAATCTCTGGTTTTGCCTTCAAACAGAATTCTGTTACAAAGAACTTGGAAAGATTTTGAATCCATTCAGGAGAGGAAAACTCTTTAATTTTCTGAGGAGTAAAAACTCCCCAAGAAACTTCATATAGCTTCTTAGATTTTGCTTCGCATACGTGATAAAACATTGATTGTTGCAGTCTAGTGACCCATGAAATTTGGGGGTTAGTTTTCTCTTCAGACCAGAGCATATAATTATGCAAATAAAGAGCTGTCACTGATCTAGTGAAATACTCACAAACACATGCACTCTGAAATTGGACAGAAAAGTGAAAATGGTTTGTGATGTGACGGTGCCGTGGCTTGCTTTCCTGCCAACTTTCTATCTGAGTTCATTATTCAAATTGTAAACTTTAAAGAGACATATCATTCTTTGGGTACTGGGTGTTTTTCATTTCAGATTCTTTGTTTTGGTCACTGAGTAAGTTCAATATCATTTTATCTATGACAATTTTGCATAGCACCCAATTCCAACAAAGAAAGTATAGTGAAATGTTTCCCACACACTTCAAGAAAAGTTGCCTAGAAGATAGCATGGATTAAGTCAAATTTTCATTTTCTAAGTTTTACATCCACAGGGAAAATACTGGCCACTCTATGATGTCTAGTTATCAATCAAACCTTCGGGACAGCTTTCTCTAAAAAGCAACTCTTAAGCTTTTTTGTTTTATTTTCCATTATTATTCCTATAAAACCTTTAAACTGAGAATTAACAAGAATTCTTCATTCTACAGGTCACATTAGCCTTGAGTTCTCCCAGTCCCAAAGTTACCATCACACTGGCTGTTGCATAGTTTTAGATGTCATGGAGGGTCCCACTGATCAAATCTGAGAAGTCTAATGTCAAATCACTGACTGCTAAAGACATCACTTCATGAAAGCAATGGTGTGAAACTTGAAAAACATTGATCCAAATGAATCAATTAAATCAACATCCATGCCTTCTAAGGGCGAGTTTTTAAAATTGTCATTGTTATTTAACAATGCAGATTTCAAGATAAATTCTGGACTGCTTTCATAACTATTTCTATTCTTGGACCTCTCTCAATGCACTTTGTGTTACCCCCCTTCCAACATCTTCCAGTTGGTGTACATTCTTTGAGTATAGTGCATGGCAGTTGCAATGGTTTAAGTCTAAAACAACTTCACAAAGCTAATGCTTTAGGTGGAGTAGCTTTAAGCTCTGTGAAGTGTTGATTAAAAACCCTTTCCCAGACTCAAACTGATCTCTTTTTTTTTGGAGATTAATAGAATATTAGATAAAAAGAAGATGAACAATTCGAGAGACTCCCACTCAGTCATTCTACACATGGACAGAAGGAAAGTATTACAGGTTTTGAAGGGGGTATGTCTTAGGGTCTTTTATTTAATACTATTATGCCAGAGAGTATATAAGGAGTCACCACAATTATCCCCCATTTTGCCACCCATCTTTCAAGTACATGAATGCCTCAGATTTTTTTTTTTAGTCTCTCCCCACAAGACATGAGAGAAGTTGCCAAAAAATTTACACTGTGAAATTTTATACTGTGAAAGTTACCTTAGAGTAATTTTTCTTAACAGCTTCCAACAGGAGCCTATCAGTTAACAATCTAAACAATGATTACAACATATAAGATACATGCTTCGTTTTGAACTCTGTAATCCAGAGAAACATGAAAAAAGCATCTAGTTTTAAATTAGCAGTGCTAATTAAGTTAACACTAAATTCTGTCACCCAAACCCCCTCAAAGCTGTAACAGGAATGTAAACAAATCAGTTTTGGACTGAACACACTTTATCAAGGTCTGAGCATCAGCAGTTTGGGAGCAACTTAGTCTTACCAGCTCCCTCTGAAAAACATATTTACTGAATACTAGTGGTTATTTTATAAACCATTTTAAAGACAACTTTTTCTAATTTCTTTACTTATATATTAAAAACATGTGGCTAAAAATGTTACCTTTCTGACATATGTGAGCCAAGTAGAGACTCAACTAAAGTCAGGATATTGCCTTACAGCAATAACAATAGTAATAATAATAATAGCTATAAGGCTTATAATATTGATAAACATGGTCCAATCACTCCTTCTAGGTCTCAGCTTTGAAAGCCTCTGCAGGTGATGAGAAAAGAACTGAGGAGGAATAACACAGTTGCTTGTTGGAAAAACTTTTTTATTTTGAAATATTAAACAGAAAAGATATTAAAGGAAACTCCTGTGCTTTGTTTATTTTTGACGTATAAACAAAAATGCATTCCAGGAAGCACAAGGCAGAAATGTGAGAAAAGAACAATTATTACAAGTAGATGGTCTTTCATATACTTAGGGTGACTTTCAAGGACTTCATGTTAGGTCCCTTTAGAAAGCTTCAGTGCAACTGCCTGGCCCTGAAGCTTCATCAGGGCTACTCTGCATCTCCAATTTATGTCTTTATAAATTTATTTACTCTAAGAATTAAGTATATGATTAAAGAAAAATAAAAAGCCCACAGTCTGTCTTTATACCTCTACATGCCTAGAATCTTTCAAAGGAAACAACAGGGAGGGGACCTGTTATTAACACTGGCCACCGCTCTGCAGGTGGAGTACTGTTAACTGCTTGTTAGTCCACGAAAACTGAGGTGAATAGCATTATTATATATATAGGGGCAGTATCCCAATCAACAGGTTAAGAAACCCTACATTATAAGAAATCACTTATCACTGGAGGGCTTTGCCTGGCTCCCTCTGGGTTGCTACAGTGCAGATCCATAAGAAGTAACAGACATTTAAAAAATATAACTTTGTAAATAGCTCTCTAGCAGACAGATATCAAGGTTACAATTCAGTGATTATAAAGAACCATCTTAAGGAAACAGTGACTTTCTCTATAAAAGTGAGGAACCTAGAGGAAGGCCCAGGAGCCCTTTGATTCCAGAAGCTCAGTACATTTACTTTCCTTTAATTCAGCTGCAGAAGCTTCGCAAATTTCTCCCTGCATGAGTGGAGTGATGGTTTTGTCTTAATGTCACAAAATTAGTTTCTTGCGAATATTTTTGTATACTGAAAACACCAGACAATTTATAACATTTGGTAAGATGTATTCATCCCACACCAAGTTTTTAAAGCCAGCCATTGAGACAACAGCATTATCTTTACAGAGCTCACCAAACCATCTACAATTAGAAATGAGAAGGGTCACTATGACAGAGCACTATGCTTGACATTGTTGGAGTAACACATTTTAAACGGCCCAGGAGTTGAATAAAACGCCATTTTGACTTTCCCCTTATGTTGTTTCTGCTTAAGTAATATCAGAAGACGCCCAGACATGATCACTGGTCCTTTACTTCCCAGGCACTGAGAACACAGAACTATTTAGTGCATCTATAGCCAAACAACATGGGATATTATTACTAGTTCTAAAACTTGCTGAAATCAGTTCACAATATTAAAATAATTCTCCATAAGCTTGTTGAGTTCTGGTTATTCTGAGGCATTAGAGAGAGCCTCAGTATAATTTTTGGATATACTTTCTAATGTTCTCCAACAGGGCAGACTCATTACTTGTTGAATTCACTTAAGGAAGGGTTGGAAGTATTAAATTCACAATCTCACCCACTGGATAGGATCTTCAGTAATTAAAATCTTCAAGTAATTCATGTTTAATGTTTTAATTTGAAAGCCGGCAAAATGTCAACTTATTTTACCTTCTGTATTTCACAGTGTTCAACAGATTCCAGTTGGGGTAAAGGACCTAACAGTTGAAATTATAGGGCAAAACCTTATCAGAGGAAGTGGAACACTAAAAATTGTGTACCTAAAAGAGAAAATCATTTCCTTTTTCCTATTGTAGATGAAAACTGAAGCATTTTAACCTTACTTAGCCTTTCAGAAAGACGAAGGTATGCAGTTTCATTTTCTTGAAAGTTAAAAAAAAATCATGTATCTGAAAAGGTTCACTTACAAGAAAGGTCAAAGTACACTTAGTGTGGATTAGTAACTACCAACAACTCTGTGCACCGTAGTGCACAGAAAGCAAGCCTTGTGTATCATCTCAATGCCACTCATTATGTTACATATTCAACAGTAGGGCCAAAATTTCACTGAAAATGGGGCTTTACACCTACATCTAAAATAGCTGCTTATGTTTTTTTTTTCATTTGAACATTCTCTCCTGAAGTCAGAGACATGAAGACTCTCCTTCAGCTCGGTAGGAATGTCCAGAAAAAAAGAATTCGTATTCAGTACTTTATGAATTTTTATGCCAAGTTTTTCTTTTGATTTTGAAATGGAAATAGGTCGTTACAGGGAGAGAAGGATTGGTACTCCCCAAACCACATAGTGCACCATGGCATTAGTGTTCTCAATTTAAAGTTGGCATTTCCAGGACTATGGCTTTCTACAAAAGAGAGGAGTTCATAGGATGACCCGAGGGAAAAACTTGGTTAAAATTAAAGTTTGAAGTCTAGAATAAAAGATTGCTGGGTTTAAGGGGAAGCAAAAAA